GGTGATCATGGTGATCCAAGTGAGGCTCCAAATGATGATCCAAGTGACGCTCCAAATGGTGACCACCCTTCTATTGTTGTGAGTTCTGCTAGGTATGTAAATCTTGCAAGGGTCAAATACTACTGTACATCTATCACTTGACATGATCTCATTACCGTTTATGTTTTGCACAGCTCTATGGTAGGTTTGAAGAAGACGCGCAAGGTACCGACAACCAAGAGAAGAAGAGAAGAAACAATGAGCACAAGGTGCACGAGGAGCAAAGTGATGGCAAGAAGCTCAAGGAACAGACAGAAGCCCCAACGCTATCTATGAATAATTATGAAACATTATGAATAAGGGATGATGTTGTATTATGAAACATTTATCACTTGACATGTTGTATTTCTGTTGGATGATGTTGGACCTATGTTAGAAGTATGTTTGACATGATGTTTAAATATTTGTTGGATGATGTTTGAATGAGCACATGGTTTTTCCTTTTTTGATTTTTTTGAATTTTGTTTTGCTCATTTAAATTCTGGTCAAACCTAACTTTGACCAAGATTTAAACAAGTCTAAAACATCAAAATGAAAAACTAAGCCTGGATACTTCTTAGTCAATCCAAAAGGAAGTTGTGGTGAGCTTTTTGAAATTTTCATGAAAAATGTGCTAAAAAGAGGGGTCCAAAGGTAGGGTAAACGACCTCATTTCTAAGCAAAAAAAATTTCGACCTTGTCTAAATCATCCAAATAACTTTCCTACACATATATTCTATATGTACAGACTATGTGCGCTGGTTTTTCCATTTTTTGATTTTTTTTTAATTTGTTTTGCTCATTTGAATTCTGGTCAAACTTAACTTTGACCAAGATTTAAACAAGTGTAAAACATCAAAATGAAAAACTAAGCCTGGATCCTTCTTAGTCACTCCAAAATGAAGTTGTGGTTAGTTTTTTGAAATTTTCATGTTCATTTTCCCAAAACACTTCTCTTCACTTCATACAAGAGAGTTTGAGATACTCGAGATATCATACAATACACATGAACTTATCATTTAAATGTATGTAAAGCTTGTTTATCAACTTAAATCGTTAGTATATGACATAAGAAGACTATGTGCGTAGGTTTTTTATTTTTCTGTTTTTTATTTAATTTATTATGCTCATTTGAAATCTGGTCAAACATAGCTTTGACTGCTCCAAACCCCTCCCAAACCCCGCTAACCCTAGCGCTGAACAAGGACCGTTCATCTAACCCTAGCGGCGATCAAGGACCGTCGATCTAACCCTTCTAGAAGGAATCTGCGGGGAGGAGGGGGGCGATCCGCGAGATGCAATCTGATTGGCTGGGAGATTGTTTTTTTAACAAATACCGGGCGCGCTGGATGGACCGTTGGGCTGTCTCGTGCTCTGGGCCTGAGACCGCAGTAAATAGGTTGTCTCAGCCTTTCCAGGCCTTGCATGGATGGAGGCGGCGACGTGGGTTTGCATGCGCAGGAGGCGGCGACGTGCATGCATGCGAGCGAGGCGAGCGAGGCGCGCTAGGTGAGCTAGGCTAGCGAGGCGAGCTAGGTGTTTCAGTGCAGTGGTTCAGGGCAGCGATTCACATGCACCACCCGGTCAAAGAGCTATGCAGTGATTCAGATGCACGCACGCGCCCCATGCATCGTTTTCGTGCAAAAATTTAAGTGTGCAAAACGTAACGGATACACACACGCGTCCGGATTCACACACGCACCGTTCTCATCCTTTCTCTCTTCCTCTCCCACCCACAGGCCTATAAATGGGGTGCCTCTCTTCCTCTCCCACCCACAAGCCAGATCCGATCCTCTCCAACTTCAAACACCCAAGCGACCGAGCCCTCCCCAAGCGAGACCAAGTGAAGATGCAGTTCAACGGGCCGACCTTCAACCGTCCGCCTGTCGTGCCGGAGCTGCGCTACCCACCAGGCGTGCTCGTGGAGAGGGAGCTCAGTGTGTGGGCTATTTCAAGGTGGAGGGGTTCCGTCGAACTCACCCGCGCCTTCCTCAGAGCCGGCTATGCCCACCTCCCACGGGGCTCGCCGAGGATGTTCACCCTCAACGAGGTTCGTGACCGCGGCGGCATCCTCCTACTGCTCACGGTCACCTTCACCAACCCGTTTGACGCGCGCGAGCTCCTCGGCCAAGTCTTTTGGTGCGGCTGCGAGGCCATCTTCTTCACCATCTACAACATCTACACCAACTACGAGCGCATCTTCCCCGCTCCAGGCCAGATGCACTCCCTTCCCTACGACGAGGAGGAGGAGGTGTGAAGATGAAGACGGTGTTGAAGGGGCGTGCACGGCCAAGGTGGAAGAAGAAGGTCATGATGAAGATGTTCAAGCCCGGAGTCAAGCTCGTCATGTTTCGTTTTTTATTTTGTTGCTTTTCTATGTCGTGTCGTGTCGTGTCATGTTTCGTCATGTGTCTGTGAACTGTCCGTGAACTTATCTAAGTTATTGCAATGGTACGGTGTGTTCCATCTTATCTAAGTTATTAGGGTTTATTATGTGTGTTAAAAAATGTTCGTGCCCAAACATATCATTTCTTTCCTAAACAAGTCATGAAGTTCGAGAACTTGTGGTTTTCATTAATGAAAATCGGAGGGGGTGAGAAGCCCTCTGTTTCATTCAAACAAAAAGTCATGAACTAACATGCAAATTTATTCCCTTTAAATCCTAAACCAAGTGCCACTCTAACCCTAAACCAAGTGCCACTCTGACCAAAATCATGTGGTAGTGCAACATACATTTTCAACCTTCCAACCCTCCAAAATTTAAGTGCAAAACAATGGAAAACCACTCTCACGCGTGTGCAAACATTCACGGTCTCACTATTTTTTTAACAAAAAATTCACAATCTCACTATGTATACCTTCCTTCCCTATCCATGTAAAAGTCTTGGCATCTGTCCTAGCGGTTACCAGCGCATCCCTGAACACCACAAACCCACGCGGTCCTGGGTTCGAGTCCCCAGCCGCACCAATTTTTTGTGCATTTTCCGCCCTTCCTTTTTTTAGACAAATTATGTTTTTCTCAATGTAATGCCCTTAAAAATTGTTCATTTATTTTGGCACCTGGCGTAAACCTCTACCACAGCTGAGGCACATTTTCCATGACATTTTGGTCTTTGATTTAAATCACGGTGTATTTGAATTGGATTAATTAACAGCTCCAAAAAATTTCTAACCTTAATTGTTTGGCTTCGGAATAATTCAATTAGCTTCCACAAAAAGTTCCAGCATTATGATTTACTGCCTAAATTAAATCAGAATAGAAAACAGAAAAATACGCAAGAGAACCCCCGAATGGGCCTAATTGGATGCAGTTGGCCCATTAGTCTAGCCTGCACTTGGCTCTACGCTCTGAATTTGGCCCAAGAGCAACCTTTTTTTGGACAGAAAGGCAGAGCAGAGAGCTGCATTTCATTGATCAAAAGTTTCTGAATTCCTAATTTCTTCTCTTTTTTTCCAACATATTTAAATGTTGGTCACTTCTTCTCTTTTTGTTTCAACATTTAAACAACTTTAACCAACATTTAAACTAGGTGGATTTCTCAAACAATTTCAAGATTACAAATTCCTCCATAATTCATGCCTTTCCATACATTTTCAACATTACAACCAGTGCGATTACCATACCTACAAATGCCCAAAAGTATTTGCAAATGGGTATTGGTAGTGCTTGATCTTCAAGCTTCCTAACCTTCTTCTTCAACATCCTAAGCTCAACAGCTAGCTCTCTGTCAGTGCGTGCTTCGCCCTCCATCTCTTCTTCCGGAGCTCGTGGTGCGGCCACTGCCGTTCGTGGCAGCATGCGCAACCATTCTTCATGCTCTTCTTGCAGTTCATTCATCAGAGTCTTGGCCAGAGCATCGACCCAAAAAAAGAAGCATGTCACCTGCATGAACACCAAACAGATCAACCCATTGCTCAAAGATCCCGACCACGAAAATGGTGCAATTGCCCCGATTCTTACCCCATTCTCGCTGCACACGTAGAACGGACGATTCTGGTTCCTCGCTGTCTGAGAAACCCTCCGATCAACGCCCGCCCGGCACCGCGGACAGACGAAGACATGCATGTCCACACGCGCCCGACTCTGCATCCGCGAGGTGGCGCGGGAGCTTGAGGAAGACATGGAGCTTGGAGCCGAAGGGATCTCAACGCCGCCGCGCCCTCCACTGTTAGCTTCCCACCGCCGCGCCCTCCACAGCTAGCTTCCCGCCGCCGTGCTCTCTCTCTCTTTCGCCGTGGTCACTGCGGTGCTCTCTGTCGCCGTGGTCACCGCCGCTGTCGCCCGCTTATATAGCACACCCGCCAACGGCTCTCTGCTGGGTCCCACAAGCCACGCGTGCAACGGTCTGAATAAAATTGGCCGTTTCTGCCGCCTGGTCCCACCTGTAAGGGCCGAGTCAAAAGGTTGACCTGACGGAGACGGCAGAGTTCACGGAACGAGTCGGTGCGCACAGGCTAGAGACAAAACTGTGCACAGTTCGTATCTGAGGGCAAAACTGAGTACATGAACACCACTAAGGGCAAAAGGATAATTAACCCAATTAGAAAAGGTCACTTCCATTATCACAACAGGCAATGGTGAGTTGGCAAGTAACTCCAAATCCCCAATGACGCCAAGCCAACTACCAACACTAAAGTCGACTCTTGTACTGCTGTACTCAGCAACAATATTTGGATGGAGTGACCCGGCTTATTTGTCCCATACCCCCTCGAGCGATGCATGCTCTCTTCACAAGAAGTGACCATCTGGGAGCTCACTCTACGCCCTCATGAACTGCACGCGCTCACTCTACGCCCTCATGAACAGTGGCGGAGCTTGGGCTAAAATCATGGGGGGGCATTGGCTAGGAGGGGCAAACAAAATCACAATATGCTGATTTTTAGTGAAAAGATGGGTCAAATACACAGGTATATATGCAATTTTTTCTTTGAGCGGGGGGGCCACCGCCAAGGTTGGCCCCCATGAAGCTCCGCCACTGCTCATGAACACCATGGCCGTGCAGCAAGTCGCATGCTACCTCCTCTGCATCGTCCTGACTCTGCTTCTCCCTCCGCTGCTCCTCAAGCTCGTGAAACGTGGCGGCAACAATAGCCTCAACCTGCCGCCGGGCCCGTGGAAGCTGCCGGTGATCGGCAACCTCCACCAGGTCGCGCGCGGCGGGCCGCTGGTCCACCGCACCATGGCCAACCTCGCGCGCCGGCTCGACGCGCCGCTCATGTGCCTGCAGCTTGGCGAGCTCCGCGTCGTCGTGGCCTCGTCCGCCGACGCCGCCCGGGAGATCATGAAGACGCAGGACGCCACCTTCGCGACGCGCCCCTGGAACGCCACCACGCGGCTGCTGAGGGCCGACGGCGAGGGCCTCGTGTTCGCGCGCTATGGCGCCCTGTGGCGGCAGCTCCGCAAGCTGTGCGTCGCGGAGCTGCTCAGTGCCCGGCGCGTCCGCTCGTTCTGCCGCGCGAGGGAGGAGGAGGCCCGCCGCCTCGTCGCGGCCGTCGCCGAGTCGGCGTCCTCGGGCCAGGCCGTGAACATCAGCGAGCGGATCGCCACGGTCGTGGCGGACTCGACGATGCGCGCCATGATCGGGGACAGGTTCGAGAGGCGGGAGGAGTTTCTGGAGGAGCTGGCGGAGATCATCAAGGTCGGCGCGGGGTTCAGCCTGGACGACATGTTCCCGTCGTGGAGGCTCGCGAGCGCCGTCGGCGGCATGGCGCGCCGCGCGGAGCTTAACCACCGCAAGACGTACGAGCTCATGGACTGCGTCTTCCGGCAGCACCGGCAGCTGAGAGAGGCCGTAGCTGAAGGCGCCATCAACGAAGAGGAGGAAGACCTTGTGGACGTGCTCCTTGGATACAGAAGGAAGGCGGCCTCGAGGTGCCTCTCACCACGGGAAACATCAAAGCCGTCATCCTTGTAAGTCCCATTTTACTACTGTCACCATTTGTATGAGAACTAAAAGTGGTCATATCATATCTCTAATCCAACGATTCTCACTAACAAGTCACAAGTCACTCCATATATCTCCTTTCTACAAACCAGAAACTAACATTTCACTGAACTTTCGTACCCTAAAGAACACAATTTTGGACGTCATGATTTGCAACATTCATTGAGATTTTCAGCAAGTTTTTGGCGATCGAGAATTAGCAAAAGTGCCGACTATTTCCTGGGAATCATAGTTAAAATCTCGGTCATATTTTAAAGCAAACGGTCCTAATAAACAAGTCATTCCATATAGTATTCATAATCTACAAGCCAGAAATTGAACTAACATTTCAGTTAAGTTGCACACATACAAAGATTACAATTTCAGACTTTATAAGAATGTGCAACGTGGCCCAGATTTTCAAGAATTTGTACCGAGGATTAGCAAAACTGAAACTACTATTTCTGAGAAATTGATTTACTTCATGCACTACGTTTTTTCCTAAAGCTGGTGGATAAGTTGTGCATTGGCATACAGGACCTCTTCAACGCCGGGAGCGAGACGTCAGCGAATACACTCCAATGGGCCATGTCAGAGCTAATGAGGAACCCAATGCACAAGGCACAAGTCGAGCTGCGGAATAGCCTCCAAGGGAAATCAACGGTGACCGAGGATGACCTGGCTGGCCTAAAGTACCTAAAGCTCGTCATCAAGGAAACCCTGAGGCTGCACACGGTGTTGCCACTGCTTCTCCCGAGGGAGTGCCGGGAGACGTGCAATGTCATGGGGTACGACGTGCCCAAGGGCACCACCGTGTTCGTGAACGCATGGGCGATCAGCAGGGACCCAAAGCACTGGGATCACCCGGAGAAGTTCAAGCCGGAGCGATTTGAGAGCACCACGGTTGACTTCAAGGGCACCGACTTTGAGTTTCTTCCGTTTGGTGCTGGGCGGAGGATATGCCCGGGCATCACGTTTGCGCAGGCCAATATGGAGATTGTGCTCGCCGCACTATTGTACCACTTCGACTGGAAACTCCCTGGCAAGGCCATGCCCGGCGAGCTGGATACGGCGGAGGAGATGGGCATCTCGGTCCGAAGGAAGAACGATCTTTACCTGTGTCCGGTTGTCCGTGTTAATCCATGTGCTCTTGCATAGCTGCTTTACTTATCGCACCAGTAGCTACCGGTCTATGCTATGCTTATGTAAGAAGTCACCCATTTGGACTATAAATGGATGTAAGCAACCGGTGTGACTATGTATGAAAAAATGTCCATTAATTTGGGGACTTAATAAAGGAGTGGAAAGTTGGAGCTGGAGCAAATCTCCCTTTGTTTTCTTTTTTTCTCAACCATGTTTGTAAAAATGTCCATTAATGTAGCGACTTAATAAAGGAGAAAGAAAGTGTAATGCAAATCAGTTTTCTGGGTGCTTTCTGTATGGGTATGTACTAACTGTTACATGGTCTGTGTGATATATCAAGGCCATTGAAACTTTGATTGAAAATGAGTTGTCAAAATTTTCCAAAACCGCAGAAGGTAAAGAATCATCTTACATGATCTTGTTGTGTTCTCTTGACTGGAAGTAGTACCGTCCTGTTAAACTTGGAGATGATTTCCTTGGTGTATCACAAATTATCCTACAAGGTTATTCTTTATGGCCAAAAATATTTTTATCCGAAGCTTTGGCATATTTTTTTGGAAAAGGGGGACTTCCCCGGCCTCTGCATCGGAAAGATGCATACGGCCACCTTTATTAATCAAGCAAATAGGTTCAACACCAGTCTAAAGTTCTCAAACAAAGCTGCTCACAGAGAGCTAAAGAAGCCAAACAAATGCCACAGCCGGCCGGCAAGATAAAGATAGGAAAACTAATTGCCTATCCTATTACATGACCGCCATCCAAACCGGCTGAACATATCCCGTGCAACCATCTCCCATCGGATAGATCCAGTAACCAAATGCTCCCTAGTCTTTGTCGGAGTGAGTAATGACCACATACAGATCAAAGCAATGGCTCAGAATATAACCTGCAAAAAATGAGTATTGGATGTTCTGTTAAAGACTAAATCATTTCCGCAATTTCAAATAGCCCATAATAACGCACATACTCCAACACGAATTTGTCTCGCTGTATAGGGCTCAATCATCCCATCCAACCACGTTCCGAATAACGTGTTAATATTCTATGGAGGAGTAATATTAAAGGCTATTGTCACTGACTGCCATAATTTTTTTGCCATAGGACAGTCGAGAAAGAGGTGCTTAATAGTTTCATCTATATCACAAAAGCTACACCGACTAGATCCATTCCACTTTCGTTTAATCAAGTTGTCCTTAGTTAAAATGACTTGTTTATGCACAAACCACATGAACACTTTAACTCTCAAAGGAACTTTGACTTGCCACACATGTTTCGACTTATGGATAGAACTAGAATTAATGACATCCAAGTACATAGATTTAACCATAAATACTCCATTCCTCGCAAGCTTCCAACATAACCGATCTGGGCGCTGAGAAAGTTGAACCTCCATCAGTCCTCTCACGAGATGGAGCCAAGCGTCCCAACGGTTACCGGCTAAAGCTCTCCTGAAGCTAATATGTAGAGGCGTGGACTGACACACCGTCTGCACGGTCGCATCTCTTCGTTGAACAATACTATAGAGAGAAGGATACTGAACCGCCAATGGCGTATCCCCTAGCCAGGTATCCTCCCAGAATCTTGTAGACGTACCGTTACCGACAACCACCTTGGTTCGGTTAAAGAAGAGCGACTTAACTCGCATCAGGCCTTTCCATAAAGGCGAATATGTCGGTCTCACCGTCACCTGGGATAAGGTCTTGGAATGAAGGTACTTATTACGCAGAATCTGGGCCCAAGTGGCCTCGGTCTCTTGAGAAAGCTTATATAGCCATTTACAGAGGAGACATTTGTTCTTTACCTCCAGATTTTCGATCCCGAGACCCCCTTGGTCCTTAGGTCGACAAATAATGTCCCATCTAGCTAATCTATACTTTCTCTTCAACTCATCGCTTTGCCAGAAGAAACGAGATCGATAGAAATTGAGTCTTTTCCGAACGCCCACTGGTACTTCAAAAAAAGACAGAAGGAACATGAGCATACTGGTGAGCACTGAATTAATAAGAACTAACCGGCCTCCATATGACATTAGTTTGCCTTTCCAGCATCCCAATTTCTTCTCAAAGCGATCCTCAATGCACTTCCATTCGCTATTTGTTAGCTTACGGTGATGAATGGGTATACCTAAATACCGAAAAGGTAACGCCCCCAATTCACACTCGAACAGTTGCTTATATGCCTCTTGTTCCTCCTTGGCTCTACCAAAGCAGAACAATTCACTCTTGTGAAAATTAATTTTCAGCCCAGACAACTGTTCGAACAAGCATAACACCAACTTCATGTTTCGCGCCTTCGCCAAGTCATGCTCCATAAAGATGATAGTATCATCAGCGTACTGTAGGACAGATACCCCTCCATCCACTAGATGAGGTACCAGGCTTCCTACCTATCCTGCATCCTTAGCCCTCCCTATTAGAATTGTCAACATGTCAGCTACAATGTTGAACATAATATGTGAAATTGGATCTCCTTGTCTCAGGCCCTTATGTGTTTGGAAATAACAACCTATGTCATCATTCACTTTGATTCCAACACTGCCTTGTTGCGTGAAAGATTCTATCTGTCGTCGCCAAGCGGGATCAAAACCTTTCATCCTCAACGCCTGTTGAAGGAAATGGCCATTTGACTTTGTCGTACGCTTTTTCGAAATCCACTTTGAAAACCACCCCACCTAGTTTTTTTGTATGGATTTCATGGAGCGTTTCATGCAGGACCACCACCCCTTCAAGGATGTTTCTATCCGGCATGAAAGCAGTTTGGGATGGCTACACCACAGAATGCACAATCTGTGTGAGTCTGTTAGGCCCAACTTTGGTGAAGATTTTGAAACTTACATTCAGAAGACAGATGGGCCTAAACTGCTCAATTCGGACCGTCTCTGTTTTCTTCGGCAACAAAGTAATAGTTCCAAAAATCAGATGAAACAATTGAAGCTGTCCAGCGAATAAGTCGTGGAACATTGAAAGCAAGTCTCCTTTAATAATATGCCAACATCTCTTATAAAACTTCGCTGGAAATCCATCCGGCCCTGGAGCAGAGTTACTCTTCATTTGAGCAATAGCTTCAAACACCTCTTTCTCAGAGAATGGGGTAGTTAAGATATCATTTTCATCTAAAGCCAACTGGGGGATATCCTCGTTCCGCGACTCATCAAGCGATACGAAATTATCCTCCGGAGGCCCAAATAACTTCTTATAATACTTCGTGATGTATAGTTTTAAATTTTCCTGCCCTACAATCGTCCCTTCTTCTTGCTCAAGCTGAAAGATCCTTTTCTTTCTGTGCTTGCCATTAGCGATCATATGAAAAAACTGAGTGTTGGCGTCCCCCTGGACCACTTTGCGTACCTTCGCCCGCAATGCCCACTTCAGTTCTTCTTCTCGCAGATGCTCTTTCAGTCTCATCTCCGCATCTAGCTTAACATGCAATTCTGTTGGATCTAGGATTGTGCACTCGGCTTTTACATCTAAGGCCTGGATAAGGGAAAGGAGCCTTTCCATTTCGACCTTATACACCCACTAAGATGCTTAGCCCACCCTCGTAAGAAACTTCGCAGGTGACGAATCTTATTCTGCCATCTCTCTATTGGAGTTCTACCTCCTGAATCTTTAGCCCATTCTCTGGCTATCAGATCCAAAAAACCTTCTATCTCAAACCACGCTAGTTCAAATGAGAAGATATTCTTGTTTCCCACGCGCGTTGCCTCCCCAGAGTCAACCAGCAACGGGGTGTGGTCTGAAATTCCACGCGATAATGCCTGTACGGTGACTAGAGGAAACTTCTGTTCCCAGTCAACGCTCGCGAGGACACGGTCAAGTTTCTCAAAAGTAGGAGTAGGCAAAGAATTAGCCCATGTGAATTTTCGGCCGAAAAGCTCTATCTCTCTCAAATCCAAGCTTTCAATAATGGTGTTAAACAAGAACGACCACCTGCCATCGAAATTGTCATTGTTCTTTTCGTCCCTCCTTCTAATGATATTGAAGTCGCCCCCTACTAAGATTGGAAGCTGCTCTGATCCGCAAATACAGACCAGATCCGCCAAAAAGTCCGGTTTTAATTCTGGCTGTGCGGCACCATATACCGCCACCAAGGCCCAATTAAATCCATCGATCTTGGACCTAACCCGAAATTTGACAGCGAAGTCTCCCATGACCACACTCCGAACTTCCAGCGTCTCACATCTAACCCCAAGTAAGATGCCACCTGATCTTCCTCTCGGAGGTAGACAATGCCAATCAAAATCGGCCCCTCGCGACAGCGTATTAAGGAATTGGGGCGCAAAATTGCCTCTTCTGATTTCCAAAAGAGCAATAAAGTCCAGCCTCTGTTCGATCGAAGCCTCTGCTAGAAAATGTCTTTTAGCCAAGTCCTTTAGACCTCTGCTATTCCAAAAAAATCCTCTCATAGCTCATCATGAAATTTTTTGGTCATCCGGTTCCTAGCACTTCTACGCACTGC